GGAATCTAATATTGACGTTTGATTCTTCAATAGATGAATGAGGTGTCCATAGTTGTCTTTTAATTGTTGGATGGTCTGCGCCATTTGTTTAGCATACTCAGAATCCAGAACACCAAACACCGCATTTGCGACGTTACCAATGATGTCTATGGCACCTCTCTTCTTTCGTTTAGGTTGTAGTATCATACTAGCTGACAACATTTCTAAATTTGTCATTTTAAATTGGTCAACTAAGGTCCAGCAGTCGTTATAACCATTCATTTGGTCGCATATGGTTGCCAGTGAATTAGTTGCATTCTTGATAAATTCGACCTCTAACTGTAGAAAACTTATATCATAGTAGGCTATGATTGTCCATCATAGGTGATCTCATGATTGAACCCATGTGTTCAAAATGAATCCCAGGTTTTTTATTGAATGTTGTAATGCTGATCCCCGAAGCTGATATTAATGGTAGCCATAACATAATGAGTAATGCTAGGCCATAGAGTTTTAGCCGTTTTAATGGCGTTTCTTTAGCTTGCTGTTGTTGTGTAGTGGTAGACGAATGTAAATCTGCTGCTACCGTTGCCAATCGATTTATTGGCCGCTTCAAACTATCTCTCTTAGTTCTAACATCTGCCACTTGAATTTTACTGTCAACTCTTGGATGGGTATTCACACTTCGTCTTGCTGGCCATTCCTTATTTTGTCGATTGTGTCCAATAGATGTTGCTTCACGTTTTTTCTCGACTTCATGTAATTCTTGTTTATTTTTGGTGGCTGCTGTACATGCGATTGTACTCTGATTATATCCACCTAATGCGCCGCTGCATATCCAACCGAACACGGTTTTCTGTAATACTGGTAAGTTGTTTTTCATACGAATCTTACCCACTGATAATAGCGAATAGAAATGCTCAGCACCTATCAATAAATCGACATCACCGTTTACGTTAAACTCGGCATCGGCGAGTTTGATGTGTTTAGGAATTGGCCATTGAGATATGTCGAACGATTTGTTTGGTAGAGGTGAAGTAATTTTTTCCATCACAACTGCTTTCATTTTTATATTGAAATTAGTTGTACGTGATGAGATGTTGGCAGTGACCTGATGGTTTGCCCTTCTTTTACCTGTGCCAATTCCTTTGATCCATATTGGGTTTGGATTTAGCTGTAGTTGTAATTTTTTGGCCAGGTTTTCTGACATTAGGTTCATTTGAGAACCAGAATCTAGAATAGCCCTGCATTCAATTGCTTCGCCAGAGCTTGAAATAATGTTGACCTTGGCGGTCCCAAGTAACACATATGGTTTTGTTGACAGTGCTGTAGTTAAAACAGCAGCAGCTTCTTCTTGATTGGAGGAAATGGTCTTCTTGGATACAGACGCGTTGATGTTGGTGAATTCAGGTGCGCCAGTTGTTGGCGCTTTTTCATTGTACTGAAGATGGAGTGTTGTGAGTTAAATATTTATTTTATTTAATTTCACGGGGTTTTGGCAGTTTTTCTGTATGGTAGTGTGTACGATCTTAGGTGATCGTACATTTCCCTAAAAATAGGCAAGGTTATTTGCATCTGGGCAGTTGTTGACTAGAACCAAAGCAGCAGACCGTCAGTTCGACGATAAGAAATGCTGAGTTTTGGTATTTGGTTAATAATTGGTGTCACGATGTAAGTGACTTTGAAATTGTAAATACGGAAGAATTGCAAAAATATGTAGAGCATTCTTATTAATAATAAAAACTTTGCAAATTTAGCAAAGTAAATTATGAAACTATGAAAAAACCCAATTAGGTAACTAGGGTAATTTGAAGGTCATATATTGGATTTTTGCATCAAGTTTGGGTATATAAGATAGATTTAAAACCACAAAGAAGTTAGAGTTGTAATGAGAGTTGTAATTAGAGTTGTAGCTGAAGTTGAAGTTAGAGTCTAAGTTAGAGTCTAAGTTGGAGTAAAAATTAAGAGTCAAAGAGGAGTCAAAGTCGGGAGTTTAAAGTTGTGTAGAAATAGAAAAATAAAAAAAAACAGTGGTTAAACGAAGTAGTGGTTAAAAATTATGTAATGTACACTTAGCCAAATAAAAAAAAATGATCAAGCGTAGTAGCGCTGATAAATATTTTTAAAACTAATAAGTCGTGTGTGACTGACATTAAAAGAAACCCAAAGAAAATAAATTATAACATAAATAAAATTAATAAAATTAAATTGTGAAATTAAACTCAAGTGTTTTCATAATAGCTAAGGACATTTTAAAAATTAGCTATAAACAAATGCAACTGAAACATTTCGTCCAAAACTTGAAATAAAGGCACACTCGCGTTTTTCTATGAAAATACACAACATAATTGGCGCAGCCGGTATACACACGTTTTTATAAACATACAATATAAAACGTGCAACGTGAGACGTCAACGTCACCTACCTACGTGGGAGTTTACAGCATTACAACTATTACACAAAATAATTGGCAACACATAATAATTTTTGGCAACACATAATTGGCAGCCGATACACGTTTTTGTTTTACCACTAAAAAGTAACAAAACGTGCAGCGAGGGACCAACACATTAAGGACAAGACAAGACCCGGATTAATAAGGAGTATCAACAAAAACACACAACAAGAAGAAAAATGGGAGAAAAATTGTAAGTCATTAATAAGAAATATTTATAGTTAAGTTTTTAAAATAGAAAGACATTTCATTTTTTAAGAAAGACAAATCAAATCAAATGTGTTTTATTACAACACATAAAAATAATATTGTAATGATATAATATATATTTTTATTTTTTTTAAAAATCAAATTTTATATGTAAATTTTCTGAATGTAAGTTTTATGTATGTAAATTTATTTCTGTATGTAAGTTTTTTTTTTTGAGTTCTGTTGTTCTACGTTGTTATGTGAAATTTCTTAATTTTCAAGTTTGTTCAAATATGGGGAAAAGTTGTTTTGTTTGCGATAAGCAATTCGAGGCAAAAGATTTGGAAAACCATCTAGATTCGCATAAACGGTTGTTTGAGGAAGCACATCGTATTATTAGTAAAATAGACAATACAGAAGATAAGGGAATATTTTACGAAAACATAAGCATAAAACCCAATAAAAATTGAATAAAACGACCAGTACCAAAAACAGATAAAGAGTGGGCCCGACAATATAGGCAAGAATTTAGAGAATTGTGGAAGTAAACATTGTTTTTTTTTTCTAAGTAATAAGTGTAATGCAGAGATATGGTTTGGTATTTTCTCTTTTGATTAATTAATTATTGTTATTGGTTGAGTGGGGTCACGTAATTATTTTGTTTTTATTTCTCATAAATGGAAAAGGAAATCGAACATTTACAACAGGAGCTTAGAGTATTTAAAAGATATTTAGAATCGGCAAGAGTACACGCTTGGGAAAAATTAATTGAACTTAATCCAGATAAGGAATTTGTTCAATTAACAAAAGATCATATTAGACATAACAGGTTAACGAGGGTTGAAGAACTTGAATACATAAAGGAAAATATAGAGAGCGTGGAAGGGATAAGGTCTAAAGAATTGGCGAACGTTATTGAAGATTTGTCAGATGCTAAAAAGGGTTTGGAACATAAGTGTAGGCAACTAAGTTCACGCACGGAAGAACTAACATCTTTATTGCAAGACGCGGAAGATCAGACGGCAATTTTGGAGAACGTTTTAAAAAACCAGGGAAAAACGGAACAGGACATCAGTATAATCTTGGACTCAGAAGGTACAGATCACATTAGGGAAAACGAAATTAAAAAGCTAACAGCACAAATTGATGATTTAAAGAAAGAACTAGCGAAGTGCGGACAAACAAAACAGTTACTGAGAACAATGGTGGAAACAAACAAAAACGAAAAAAAAGTTATGGCATCGATTACGGCAATCATGGAAATAGTAACCAAGGTGGTACCGTATTTCACGGGCACAGAAGGACCCGATCTACGGAGTGAAGTACACAAGTTTATTGCGGGTTGTGAACTGGTACAACAAGCACTACCGCAAGAGGGAGCACAGTATGTCGTAAGTTGCATAAAACAAAGGTTAGTGAGTGTAGCTTACGAGAATATCGCGGGTAGACCATTCAACACAGTAAATGAATTGTGTGAGGCGGTTAAACGTACATACCTCAGGAAACGTACATTGGAACACATAAGGAATGATCTAACTGGTACTAAACAAAGACAGAATGAGTCGGCGAGTTCATTTGGAGGTAAACTGGAGGCGTTACTACATGAAGCCGAACAACTAATAAGAAATCAAGGAGGTGAGAGTGAAATTCTGTCACAGTTAGGAGAATACAGGCGACTAACAGTACGTTGTTTTATTAAGGGTTTGAAAGATAATAGTTTAAAGCATAGGTTTATTGGGTTAGAGAATGATCCTATCCAGAAACTAATTTTTATTGCAGAATCAGCCGAAGAATTATTGGGTGAATCACGTTCAAATATAAACATGTCCACCACAGAGAATCGAACAGAAATGAAATGTACGTTTTGTAAACAAGACGGACATGGATGGGCATACTGCCCAGAAAGACAAAATACGCCATACTGTACAAATTGTGGAGTATATGGGCATGAAAATGGACCCAAATGTAGAGAACATCTTATGGAGACAGTAAAACAAGAAAAATCGACCTGCAATTTCTGCAAGAAGACGGGACACGATACAAAGGATTGTTTCAGTAGACTAAACAAATTGTATTGTACTTCTTGTAGAGTGAGAGGACATGAACAGAATAAATTTTGTAATACAGGACGTGGGAACCAAAATAACTACAGTAACGTGAGACAAGACAGGGACTGGCAAAACCATTCAGTACCTTTAAAGCACAGTAATCCAAACTTTAGCAGACCAAGTGGAAGACCTTTGAGTGCAAATCTTAAATGTTTTAGGTGCGGCAAAGAAGGACATTTTGCAAAAACTTGCAGAATAACAGTACCAAACCCGTCGGGAAACTTCAACCGGCCCAGTCTAAGACATTAGACTGGACTGCCGTAAATTCAAAAAGTAAATGTCAATTTAATTTAGGACCTGCACGAATAACTAAAAGTAACAGCAACAACAATGTTCAAAACATTTCCCTAAAAATAGGCAAGGTTATTTGCATCTGGGCAGTTGTTGACTAGAACCAAAGCAGCAGACCGTCAGTTCGACGATAAGAAATGCTGAGTTTTGGTATTTGGTTAATAATTGGTGTCACGATGTAAGTGACTTTGAAA